AAACATGAAAACTTTTTTTTTTCTATTCTGATTCACTCCTAACAAGGCTGCAAGCAACCACTATTAAGTTGGGAGTTACTAGAAAAAAAGAACAAGTTATAGAGAAAGGAAACAGTTGATAGAAGACTTAAAAAGTTGAAGGTTGTATGAATCAGAAAAACATGAAGATGGGAGACAGTTTTAAAGAGTTGACGCGCAGGGAAAAAACTAGACGAATAAAAGATTTTGGAGCATGCAGGGACAGATACAGTAACAGAATGTGACTTTGATGAATGACAAGTTAAGCGAGAATGAGTTTTAGTCAACAGAACTAGAGATGAAAGCTCCTTTAAGCAGCAACCATGATAGTATTTGTAGCAAAAGAGTAAGAGATGCAACTTTGCGACGATGGCAAAGGGGCTCAAGCTTAGCAACTACGTTTACAATGCATTTTTGAACCTTGTCTAGAAGAGAAAGAGCATTATTATCACCAGCCCAAATATGACAACAATATTCCATGGAATCAATAACAGATTTATAGAGGTAGAGAATGGAATCTGGAGAGAGAAAATGGCAAGCAAAGTAAAAAGAAGCAACCTTAGAAGATGATAATTTAGCAATCGATTGTATATATGGTTTTCATGAAAAGTCAGTAGTAAATAATAATTCAAGAAAACATAAGGAAGAGGACTCAGTGAGAGGGCTGCCATTCATTAATATAAGAATGATGACAGTACTGTGATAGTTGTTTGCAGTAAATAACTGAGTTTTGTTGAAGTAAAAATTTTACTGTGAGCCCCAATCTGTTACAGAAGTGAAAACAGATTCAAGATCAGCTGCCTGTTTTAATCGATCGAAAAGAGAAGACTTTTTTGTCAAGACAGGAGTATAAAGTTGAGCCATCAGCAAAAAGAGCTACTTTTGGTGTAAGGTTGTTTGGAAGATCATTGATGTAAATAAGAAACAAAATAGAACCAAGAATAGAACCTTGAGGTCCCCCATAGTTACTGGAAATAAAGAGGAATGTTGGCCTTCTAGGATGATTTTAATAAAGTAGTTGGAATGAAGCAATTTAATAATCTAATAATAATCATACACCATATGAAACAAGCTTATGGAGAAGACCAGCATGCCAAACTTTGTCAAAAGCCTTAGATATGTCAAGAGCATAAGCCTTATCATCACTGCCTCGGTCTTATGCACAATAAAATCTTTCAGTCACAGCTGTCAGCCAATGAGCAAGAGGATCAAAAACTGCTGACAGCAAGTTATTTGACTCAAGATATGATGTGAGAAATTTATTTATCAAAGACTCAAAGATAATACAAATAATAACAACTAATAACAGAAAGAAGACTGATAATAAAAAACTAATAACAGAAAGTCATTAGTTTTCATATTTCTGCCTTATCCTTGGGAGAGGTAATAAGAACAGTCCCATGAATGAGAGATGGAATATTAGACCTACCCTTGTTAACAATGCTGTTGAAGATTTTCCAAAAGTCTTATCTTTTTTATAAGATACAAGATTTAGTGAACCCAGATTAATGAAGCTTAGCATCTGACAGCACCTTTTTACATCGATTTCTTGCAATAACAAATAGCCATTTGTTCTCAAGAGAGTTGTTTTATTGAAAAAGATAAAAAAAAAATGATTATGATTAGATTAGTGTGAAAACCATGGAGTAGAATGAGGCTTGACTTGGAACCAACAATAAGAAATAAAAGCTTCTATTCTTGCCTAAATCCAGGAGGTTACATAAGAGGCACATTTTTTAGCTGAGAGGGAAAAGACATCAGCCCAAGGACTGTCACAAAGAAAATTATGAAAAGAGTCCCAATCAGCTTTAGAGTAGTAGTAAGTAGTACGATGATAGGGTGAGTTTGAAAAGAAAGTACAAGATGAAAGATTATTGCATGGTCAGAACCACCTAATGGAAAAAAAGGAGAAACTTAAGCTAGGATCACAGACAAAACATAAATTAAGGAGTAAAGGTAAGTGATTAGGGTTGTCAGCAAAATGAATCATAAACAAGCTATCTGAGTAAAAGATTAAGAAATGCAAAAGTTATAGGCTTTAGTGCCAGCAGAGCCAGCGGCATTAGAGCCATGCTATGATTTATGAAATTGAGAAAAGGTTGAAAAACATTACAAAATGACAGTAAACTGTTATCATTTTTTCAATAGTTTTTTTTTTCTTCTTTTTGCTCTGATAAATTTTTGTGATAACTTTCAAAATCTACACTTTACAAGCCCCTCCCCACAGCCTTGAATATAAATCAAATATAAGTGTTTTTTTCACTAGAATGGAACCTTTTTTTTTGTATTAAATATACATTTTTCTGGTATTATCATTTAATGAACTTAGTTCAGTTTTAAATATTAAACATTTTCAATTAAAAAATTATCATATTTAAAACTGTTTCCATTTAAAAAAGTTGGTGTTGTAAAAATCATTAAGTAAAACATTATTATTTGCAAATTTAAAAAAAGTGATATCGAATGTTAATTAAATAAATTATAAAAAAATAAGTTAAGTACAAAAAAAATCGCCAGCTTTTTCTTGACTGACAATTGAAGCTTTAATTGGAGGTTGCAAATCAAAGTCGGGGAGGGGAAAGAACCAAGAAATTTCATGGTTTACCGGTGGACCAGTCCACACCTGTTAAAAACCTTAGCTGTAATAAAAGATGACAGAACACTTGGCTTGACTATGATAGAAAACTAAAAGCTGTTCAAAATCTTTTTTTTCACAATAGTTAAAAAATAATTATGTAACCACATATCTTTATCTTTGGAATAAAAGGAACAACCAATAAAATTACACCAATAAAATTTTCAAAACATTTTTATTTGTTTGATAATTATATGGCAGGAAATGGTTCAGTTAAACAATGTTTTATTTTTCTTAGGGCCAAGTTTTTAAGACATCGCTTGAATTGTTTGAGAAAGAAATTTTTTACTCAAGATATCCAATGATTAAAGAAAAAAACTTAAATAAATCTCAACAAAATCTGAAGAAATCAAAAATAGAGCACAAAATAAAAAACATTAGAACACATTATAAAGGACATTAGAGCAATAACAAATTTTTGTTCCAAAAAAGAGTGGCTTTGCTTTTTATAAAAAAAAAAACTTGTTTACTCTACCTGTCAAAAAGTGAAAACACTTGGCATATAAGCTTAGATGGCAATGAAAATATCTAAAGAATAGTCCAAACAATTATAATGGCAATATAAGTTATTTTTGGCGAAGATAGAAAGCAACAGCTGAGTCAGCTAGCAAAGAAAATATTTGATCACAAAGAATCTGCTGACATCAAGCTGCATTAAAGGTGGTAGATAAAGCTAAAAAAAAACTTGAACAATATTTTAAATTCTTTAATATAAAAATATAACAGCAAACATTTTACAATTTCTACATAAAGTTGTAAAAATAAGTTTTTAAATAACTTTGAAATGAAAACTGATGTATTTGATACGAATTTAATTTTTTATTCTACATTGTCAATCATATATCAAAAAATTATGATGAAATCATAAAACTAAAGAGAAATTTTTTTTTAATAATTGATGAGTCAACCACTATAAGCCAAAAATCAAAACTGATTGTGCACATTCAGTGTAAAGGGCAGTGAAAAGAATTCACTGATCAACTTATTTTTGGATTTAATCGAACTTTATTTACTAGAAAATGCTACAGCAAAAGGAGTATTTGATGCTTTAATCAAAGTCAATAAAAGTTCAATAAATTCTAATAATAAATTTTATGAGATGATAAAAGAATACTTGAAGAACTAGCCAATTTCTGTTACATTTGACAGTAGTGATGTTAGAATGCAAATTTAAATTACTCATTGATAAATTTTCTTCTATTATTTGTTGGCATTGTGTTAATCATAAACTGGAACTTTCAGTAGGCAATAGTATTAAGAAATGATTTGAATCTATTTCAGGTATCAATAGATTCAAATTATTTCTTGATAACCTCGTTGTTTATCACGCTTCCCTAAAAATAGCAGAGAGTAACATACATGTCTAGAATTATTTAATATTCTGCTGGTGAAATTGGTCAAAAAAATTGTTTTTGCGCTGATGAATAACTTTTTAAAAATTGGACACCCAGTTATAAAGGTTTAAAAAAGAAAACTACAACTACAGAGTTTTTAATGGATCTAGGATTGTTGTGTGATGCTTTCTAAGAATTATCAGAATTGAGTTTGGATCTCCAAGAGCACAACATTAATCTGTATAAAATCTGTATAAAATTAAAACAAATTTGCTTCAGTTTCTGCACAGAACCTATATTTATTTTTAAAAAAACAAATCTAAAAATGGTCCAGCTATAGATCTGAATGCCTTTTATATAAAACTAAGAGTCAATTGAAAAAAGGTTCTTTGCTGACATGTTGAATTCCCTCAATAGGCTCACAGCTTAGACCAAAAACATTAACGCTCAGCTGATATTCAGAGGAACTGAAATAAGAAATTTATAAATAAGATTAAAATTAAATAAACGATTTATGAGTTTGAATACCATGTAGAAAAAACGTGTTCTAAAAATCTTGTTCATTGAAAGCATGCTCTACATACTATCCCTATTGCTTTAGTGAATAAACATCAGATAAGCAAGTACTTCAATAATCGCAAAAACAGTTTCAACAATTTTTTTCATCAAATTGGCGGAACCACAACTAACAAGCTTTGATCCTTAAAATTATGTTGATTTATGGTTACTTAAAAAAAAAAAGCTAATGTAATAAACTTTTACATTATTAGTATAATTATAAATAGTGCAGAAAAAAGTAACCAGAGTCTCAAGCCTGTCTAAATATTTGTATGTGATATAAAAAGATGGTGAAATGGTTAATATTTTTTAAACAGTGGAGAAGCATCCTGCTTATTTTACAGTTATACTTGCTTATTTAAGTATATTTAAGTATTTAAGTATATTGCTTAAATAAGCAATTATAACTGTAAAAAAAGCAGTTTAGATATAAAAAATTTAATTACAAATAAAACCTTGTTTTAAGACCATCTCGTAGATTTTCACCGCACATATACTGTAGAACAATTTCACAATTGGCATTAGGCCCACCGCAAGAATGTTGATTAGTCCACTCAATTGTCAGTTGTGATCCTTCATAATAATACAAATTTCCAACATTATACCCACCACGTGCATTATTTTGAGAGTCAAACAACCTACATATATTTTGTAACATTAAAATAATTTTTATTTAAGTTAAAAGTAATTATTTACTGACAATAAAATGAATTATTAAAAAAATAATAGTAGTAATAATAATAACACTAAGAGTAATTTAAATTTTTAATTAATTAAACACTATAAATAACAATAGTAGTAATAATAATAACACTACTACACTTTTCACTATGATATAACATGCTACATTAAAGCAACAACCAGATTGCACCCACATAATATTCAAGTTAGTCACAAAATTTAAAACATTTTTCGAAAAACCTTTACCGATTTCCATTGTCACGCTCTCTACCTGACTCATCAAGTCGATCATTGCTTCCCCTAATTTTAAAAAAAAATTGAACTTTTATTACAAACTAACATTGTCATGTAATATATAGTAATATAAGTAAATATTGTTTTATAATGTAGAGCTTAAAAAGTAACTAAATGATAAAATTTGTTAAACTATACAATTGTTATAATAAAAATGTGTATAACAATACAAATCTAAAACATTTGTATTTTTAACTAAAAAAAAAAGTAAAAAAAAAGTAAAATCGAATTAGTCAATTTATTATATTTTAACTTGTAGTCTGTGATTCACCATTTGTGATTTCCCTGATTTTTACACATTATTATAATATTATAATATTGATTGATTATAATATTATCAAAATTATGAAAATAATTAAATTTTGTAATTTATGGCTTCCAAGAACAAAAAAAATTTTTAATATTGCATTCAATATCATTCCTTTAATTTCTCGCATGATAAAAATAGACAAATTCTAAGTATTGTCACTTTTTTCTAACAGCTATTTTCATTAAAAATAGTACGTAGCGGTGAGGTACCAAAGAATATATTTGCAAATGGTAGCGTACCAAACACATAACAATTAGATAACAGATACAAAGCTACGTTGCATGTTTTTGATAAAAGCTTACTTTTTGGACTATAGATTTTGTTTACAAAAATCAAAGCAATATCGCCTTAGTTTGGTGACCAAGTAACTTCAGTCATTCAAGAATAAATAACAACCAAGCGTGCAAACTTAATTTTTTTCCTAATAACATTTGTCGTAACTTTTTTAAATCTAAATGCAAGAATAAGAATATTAGGCAGGTTTTTAGATTAGTTTTATAAGTAGGAGCCAGATTTACCCTGGTGGTAGTCATGGGGGCCAAGTCTGGTAAGAGTTGCTTTCAAGTACGGGTAGTGGGGAGAGTGTACCTTGCAAGTTTTTAAAAAATAAGGTCCTCAAATTCTCTAGTTTGCTGACAAAATATAAATAGTCAAAATAATTGACAAGGTAAAAATAAGGGGATCACCCCCTCCCACATTCATTAAATTAGATCATTTATCTATAACCCTGCCCGCCCATTTAATAAGTTGTTGTACATGACTTTATGCACCATTTCCAGGAAAGTCTAGACTAGCTCATTATTCAAGTAATAACTCACTTATACTCACTCAGGGGAGAGGAAAACCTATATATTTTCCCCAAGTAGGTATTTTTTCTTTAAATATATAAACTTTGCATTAAAGGCATTTTTAATTTTTCACAATAATTTGTTAATTACTAATGTGGTAATCAAAAAAAAAAAATTTGTTTTTTAGTTTACCATTTTTTATTGCTGAAGCTATTTAAAAGTTTTTAACTTTCAAGACTATATACTATATACTGTACAATAACAACAAACTTAGTTGCACGAGGGATTTAATTGAAACTTTTGAATTAATCAGTGCTGCACTTATTGACTAACAGAAAAACCAAAATAAATACTAAATTATTAACATATTTTCATTATTTTCCAAAAAAAAAAGAAAAAAAAAAAATGAAACAAGTTTAAACTTAAAAAACCTAGCTTTTGGGGTTTTTAGGGTTTTAGTTGCTTTTTTCAGTAAAACTTTGAAATACTATAGCATTGCTCATTCATGGATGTATAAGAGATGTATAAGTTGCTTGTACGTACATCATTCATGGATTGTTTGCAAATTAAAATAAAATCTTTACAAAAAAAAATAAAACTATTAACTAATTACAAATTTGTAATTAGTTAATAGTTTTATTTTTTAGTAATAGTAACTTTTATTTATAAAAGTTGCTTTTTATTATCAACAACAACAATAACAACAATATATTTTTCAGCAAAATTTTTAAATAGGTTAGGTAAAAAATTGAACAATTCGTCTAATTAGGAACAACAATCTGCAGTCCTAATGATTCATTATTATTTTCTGCAGATATATAACTGAGTTTCTGTTTAACTCATAAAGTAGTACGCACATTGCTGATGAGAGAGCAGGTGATGTTTAAGATCTGAAGTTGAATAAGATTTAGTAAAAGCGTCATCAACATACACAAACTCCATTCTTAGTTCTTCATCAGCGGTTGTTCAGATGTATGTGTTGTATGAGGACTACTAACTAACTTTTGAAAATACAAGTTAAATGCTTGGCAAATGTTTGACCCATTAACAGTGGTAAATCTTTGTGATTTTATCTTTAATGCCAAAATCTGAGTGGACCTGTTCTAGAACCACTTTTAAACGTATAACATCTTTTTAAGCGTTGACATGCCAGTACTCCTGATCTTCTCTTTTAGGTAGATTTATCAACCAAGAGAAGATCAAGAGTACTGGAGAACATCATTAGTTATACATTTGCGTCATTTATTACGACGCAAATGTATAACTAATGATGAGCTGACTAACCATTAGTTGAAGATGCAACAAAATGCTGTTACTGTAACAGAATGGTCATTTTTTGACGCATGATTATCTATATTGCATGCTATCGTTCACCAATTGACATCTTGACTGTTTTTTAATATAATCTATTAAAAAAAGTCAAGATGCAAATTGTAAATCAAACACTCATCTGATGAGTCTTTAGATTGGTGTTGAAACAATTATCAATTGTTTGCAACCAATCTTCTCATTTGTGTCGAAAGGCTGCAGGTTAGTTAAAACATAATTAATAACAGACTGATATAATGTCTCTGGTGAAGTAATTTTGAAGTTTCTCACAAAGTTGACTGTTTGCTGAGCTTTACCTGGTTGAGGTTTACTGCCCTTGATCATCGATCTTCTCTAAAGAAATTTAAACAATAACCATGTCAACAAGGGTCATAATACACCTTACAAAAGAAACCAAAACCAAAAATTCTAAATATATATATATATATATATATATATATATATATATATATATATATATATATATATATATATATATATATATATATATATATATATATATATATATATATATATATATATCCCTAGGTTAGAGAGAGAGGTAGCATATGCTGAAACCTGTTTGGGCTTTGACGCGCAGAACAAACAAAAATACTTTTTAGTTAATTTAACTTTTAAACATTGCATTCAAATTTGGTCATTTAATTATTCATTTCAATCATATTATACGATTCATTCATACTAATTAAGTTTAAGTACTTTACTTTTTTTTTTTACTTTTTTGCCTGAAAAGTAACAAAAGTAAAAATTAGAAGTTAAAAAAAAACGGAAACATTCCGCACTAAAAAAAGGGTAGGTACAATCGGCAGAGCAGAGCAGATTGGCAGTGCAGATCATTGAAATGTTAATAACGGCAGAGCAGAATATTCAATCAGCCGTTACCTAATGTGTGATCTGCCAAATAATTCGGCAGATCATATAATAGAATTTTTATAATGTGATTGCCAAATATTTTTATGAAAAACGATGCACATTGAATAGAAAGAACTATGAGTTGACTTTTTAAACATAAACGTTTTTTGTTGTCGCAATACTTTTCCAAAAATAAAGTGATCTGCCGTATTCTAATGGGTGATCTGCCGAATATTTCGGCAGATCATAATGCAACCGGCAGAGCAGATTGACAGAGCAGATCATTGTAATAATAATAACGGCAGAGCAGATTATCACACACAGACAATCAGCCGTTTTTTATTTTGTGATCTGCAAAGTTATATTTTAATAATGCGTGATCTGTCAAATAATATTTGGCAGATCACACATTCGAAAACGGCTGATTAGATAATCTGCTCTGCCGCTATCAACATTACAATGATCTGCTCTGCCAATCTGCTCTGCTCTGCCGATCGTACCTACCCCTAAAAAAAGACAAACCATTTAACTATTAAGCGTTTCAAAATTAACAAATAGTTATGGAACCTGCAAATAAATACTTTGCCAACTACTATTTGTCTTAAACTTGCACTTTTTGATTATAGAATATTGAAAATTACACTTGTAATAGTTTCATGATTGTGAGTTTTTTTTTTGTATTAGTTTTTTTCAAACAACGCGCTTGGATTACTGCTATCCAACTGGGGAAAATGCTAGGACCTATATGGGTATCCCATATGGGTACCATTGCGATTCTGTCTGTGGGATCCAACTGGTTCCTATCTGGGATTAGTCTGGGTTTTTGACGGGGAATCCCATATTGAGCCCAGATGTTTTTTTTATTTACCGCGGGTTTTCTCAATTTTTTACAGTTTGTTTTTCGCAGATTTTTTGCATGTCGAATCTGCGAAGTAAGGTGACAATTTTTTGATTAAAAAGCATCGCATTTTTTTATATAAAAATAAAAACAAAAAACTAATATTATACAATAATTTGATGCAAAACTGTTCTACGATAGTAATATACTGCCACAGTAGTTCTCTCATATCGCCACCATAATCCCATGACAAAATTCTGTTTTAAAGTTTATCGTTACGCTTCTTTAGTGCTTTTATCCACTTTTACACTAATTTTATAAATTAAAAATAAACATTTGAATAATATAATAATTTATAGAATATATATTTACAAAGTATAGATAAAAAGATTTTATCTATAAAAATATTGCTACTTGTTGTAAATTATTATAATATTTTACAACAATGTTTTCGTTAATATCGGATCAATAAGAGTCGCTGCTAGCGATCAACAAAGGTCGCAGAAGTTCCGTTCATTAGACACCTGATGATTTAAAAAAAAAGCTTAAAAAAAGCTTACTAATGCTTTCGTTAACATTGGATCAATAAGAGTCGCTGCTAGCGATCAACGAAGGTCGCAGAAGTTACGTTCATAAGACACCTGATGATTTAAAAAAAAGCTTACTAAAACTGGGTTATTGTCTATTGCGATCTGCAACTTATTTAAAACTTTTTTTTTTTTTTTTTTTTTTTTTTACATTTTAAGTTTACATTTGTCGTAATACAATACTTTAACAAATACAAACAAGGTTTCTGAAAGAAGATCGTACTGATCTTATCATCAGAACCTTTTACAAGCATTTAGCATAATTATTTACAATGTATATAATCTATTTATAAAATAAACAGTAAAAGTAAAAAGTAAAACAAAAAGATAAAAAGTAAAACAAAAAGAGTCGTTACATATAAAATGTAAAACAAAAAGAAAAGTAAAACAAAAAGAGTCGTTACATATAACGTATTTTACAATTAGCATAAAACGTATTTTACAATTAAAAAAGTTCTAAATAAAGGGACTTAATAACAATTAGAAGAACCTTATTATGTCATCGGAAAATAAAATTAAATTTTTGAGTTTATGTTTGAAAATTGGAAAAGTGTAAAATATATCAAAATTTGGCAAAACAACTTTATTCCAAAAATATGGCGCACGATAAGCAATACCATACTGGTTAAACTTTGTTCGACAAAAAGGTTTATGCAAAAATTTATTATTTCTAAGTATGTATTTATTTATTGGTTTTTCACAAAAGAGAACTTTAAAGATAGGTAGGGATAAGCCATTTTTCCACAAATACATAAAGCATAAAACATTAAACACATTAAGCTCGTAAATATTAAGAATTTTCATTTCAATAAAAAAAGGTTTGGAATGAGTGTATCGATCCGCAAAATTAGTTAAACGGATCCCATGCTTCTGACGGCGGTAAAGACATTGTAATTTGCTTTTTTCTGTGCTTCCCCAAGCAATATTTGCATAATTCAAATAGGTATGAATAAATGAGTAGTATAGTTAGGTTAAATCTTTTTTACATAGATATGTTCTGGATTTATATAAAATTCCAATGCTTTTAGAAATTTTTGTGCTAATATAGTCAATATGCGCTTTCCATGTGATGTTTTCATCAAGAAAAACACCCAAAAGCCTTGTGACATAGTGTCTTTTTATCACAGTATTATCAAAAGAGATTTCTGGAAAATTTTGGGGTAAATAAGGTTTTTTTGCGATTGGATGGAAGAGAATCCATTTTGTTTTGTTACTGTTAAGAGTTAGCTTATTGCATATAAGCCATTTTGATATGTTTTTAAGTTCATCGTTCATACTAGAAAAGAGTTTGTAAATATCATTATTGGAAAGAAATAAGTTGATGTCATCAGCAAACATTATACTCATTAAATTTGAGGCTTTATTTAGGTCGTTTATATAAATCAAGAACAACAGTGGTCCCAAAATGGAACCTTGGGGAACGCCACATGAAACATTTAGGAACTCATTTGGATAACAACTATTACTAAAAACAAATTGTTTACGGTTAGATAAATAACTTCGGAACCATTTTATAACTTTGTAATTTATTCCAAAGTATTTCAGTTTTTGTATCAAAATTTCATGATCTACAGTATCAAACGCCTTCGATAGGTCGATAAAAACACCTAATGTAAATTTTGATTTTTCAAAAGAATTTGAAATTTCACGAACAAGTTGGATAATTGCATGTTCCGTCGAATTATTTTTTTAAAACCGAACTGGTTGGCGTATAACAAATTATTAGAGAGGAGATAATTGTATAATCTACTATACATAATGCGTTCTAGTATTTTTGAGAATGTGCAGAGGACGGAGATAGGACAATAATTACTGATATTTGTTTGATCTCCTTCTTTTAAAATTGGGGGTAATTTTAGCAATTTTTAATTGATCCGGAAAAACTCCTTGGTGAATAGATGCTCCATAAACCTTAAAAAGTATATCTTTTAATTGTTCAAAACATTCTATAACTATATTACCGTTTATGTCATCTGCTCCGTTTGCTTTGTTTTTTTTTAGGAGATTTGAATGCTTTTTCGAATTCATGAAAAGTTAGCTCAGAATATAATTCGTTGGAACTAATGCAATTATCCATCTGTACTAGAAAATCGTTAAATGTTGCTTTGGTATAAGGAATTTTATTTGCTAGTTTAGGACCGATGTCAGTGAAGAATTTATTAAACTCATGAGCTATAGCTTTTGGTTTGCATATGCGTTTGTTATCCACTATAACCATCTGGGGAAGAGAACCTGAACATTTTTTTTATCTGCCAGTAATTTCGTTCATTATTTGCCAATTGCGTTTTGTGTTATTTTTGAATTTATCTAGGAGTCTTGTGTAATAATTTTTTTTCAAGTTTTTACAAACTTTTTCAAAGAGATATTTGTAATTTTTATATATTTTCTCATTATCTAATGATTTTGTTTGAAGATATTTTATATACAGCTTCTGTTTAATCTTGGATAAATCCTTTTGTTATCCAGGGATTATTTTTATATTTTGGAGTTATTATCTTTTCAATAATAGGAAAGTTTGCGTCATAAACGGAGTAAAAGGTTTCATAAAAATTATCATAAATTTTGTCTGCATTGTCATTGAAGTTAATATGCTTCCAGTGCAGTAACGATAGTTGGTTTTTAAACAACTTTATATTTGTATGGTTAAAAATGCGGATTTTAATTTTGTTTATTTTATTTTTAATTTCAGAACTAATTGTCAAGAATATTGGAAAATGGTCAGTTATATCAGATTTTAGGATACCTGTTTGAATATCATTGTTGAATATTTCTGTTGTAATAATATCAATCAAAGACGCCGAAATTTTTGTTACTCTAGTTGGCCTGTTTATTAAAGGAATTGCTCCCGCCTCAAAAAAGGAGTCGTAAAAGTTTTTAATTTTGTTATCTTCATTATAAAGAAAACAATTCATATTTAGGTCTCCAATAATGAAGTTCTTTTTGTTTTCTTTAATACCTTTTTTGAAAATACTTTGTTCAAAAGAAATGCTTTTTCTC